CTGTTTTAAATTACTATCCTAGGGATAATGATCAGTAATGGTCTCTTGTTGGCACGGTAATGAACCTTCGAGTTCCATAAAAGTCGGGCAATTTCTTTAATAGTCGAGAAGCATCTTCTTAAGGAGGACTTTTATGTGCGTTTATTTGTATGAATGGTGTTAGTCTGTGAGCTATTTAAGAATGCTGCATCAACATAAAGATGCTATTTAGGGTCGAACTCACTGAAGTTATGATACAGACGAAATGTAAAGCAGTGGAAAGGAATGAACTACGGCCTATTTTGAGGCATTGTCTCGACGTAAGTACATAGGTAGAATTCTGGTTTCTATCTGTAACAGGTTCGTAATTTGCCGCACTCCCATTTGCGAAATACTTCCACAAAGTAGGTCACCACCCGCCTCTTCCTTTATCATAAGATTTTGTTATTCGACGCTACCCAACACAACCCCACTTCCAGCCAGTGCCGAGGTGAAGAAAATGTAGATCTCTACATCCACTCCCCCATACGCCTTCATGGCGTAGTGCTTAAATAGTTAAGCACAGGGACAACTTTGCTCGACCTTTACCTTTTTTTTTTTCCTTGGCACTACAGCCCCAGTGGGCCTAGGCCTACCTCCATGAACTTCTCCGTTCACTTCGGTTTTTCTAGATCTTACACATTCGGTAGGACTCCTTGGACGGGTGATCAGCTCGTCGCAAGGCCTCTACCTGTACACAAACACAGAAAAACGCACACACACAAACTAAACATCCATGTCCGGAGTGGGATTCGAACCCACGATCCCGGTTTCCAAGCGAGCGAAGACAGTACATGCCTTAGACCGCTCGGCCACCGTGACCGGCGACCTTTACGTTTAGTCTACACAATCTCAGCAGCTGTTTCTGCTCTGTAAATTATTCGCTTATTGGGGAGGGGGGGAGTTCAACTGGGTCCACTCGGCACGGCGGCCACTGATTGGCCTATTGTAGCCTGCCCCGGCTGATTATGATGGTGGAATGAAGATTGGCAGGGGAAACCGAAGTACTCGGAGAAAACCCGCCCCAGCGCCACTTTGTTCACCACAAATCCCACTTGACCAGACCCGGGATCGAACTCGGGCCGCCGCCGTGGGAAGCCAGCGACTAACCGCTTGAGCTATGGCGCGGTCTGAAAGTTACTGCTCTGTAAAGTAATGCAACATACTCAGTAAACGAGGCGAATGTTTAGAACCTCCTGTGTGTTTTCATGTGTAGATTAATGACACTGTGTCCCTATTAAGTTTCATCTTGAGAGATGGGGGCAGATAACGCGTAGTTCCATGTTTTGTCGCCTCGCATTCCTCTGATGCTGTGCTTTACTTTCACTGCTGCAGAAGGTAAGTAAAGTAAGTCTGTAAAGTGAAGCACATAAAAATGCTCTGGAACGTTTTGAATTGTGAAAAATCTGCGATTTCACATGTCTTTATACATGTTTCTTTCTTTAGGACCGTCTGCATTAAAGCGCCTACCAGTTCTTAGTCATTTCAGCTCCGTGTTGATTTACCAGAAACTGAAGACCTAGTCTATCAACCCCGAAAGCAGAGTCTAAAACAATTACTTCCGGAGGTTGCAAATTACGATTCTCGAATGGAATTTGGCAAATTTTACCCGCCCACGAAAATATTATTTTGACACCAAGTTGGACGCTCAGTTACGACAGACGGGCTGGCTAAGTCAGTAGACTAGGTTACGAACTAAAGTCTGTGGTTTGATTTCCGGCAGTGATATTTCTCTTCGCCTTCGCGTCCACGCCAGTTCTGGTCTACCCAGGCTTTTGTCCTATGGATACCGGGGGTAAACTGCGACAAAAATGAAGCTGACCATTCACTTCCATGTACTGCCGGGGTTAAAGAGTACATGGAGCTACACTATCACTACCTTATGCGTCTTCATGGCGTGTACTTACTTTATTAGCAAAGGAACAAATTTAAGTTTCTCACCCTAACACTAAACGAAAATTTATTCAGTCTGGGGACAGTGCACAGTATCTAACCATGTTTGCAGTAGGTGTCTCAACACGAGAGAACACTTTGTACTTTGTAACCAAAGGGCCTTTTTGGGAATCGGACGTTAATTAGGAGCTCGTTTCTTGAGCCCAGTGGCTAGGTTTACTATTGTCCAGCTACTGGACTTTGCCCAGGCATAACGGCTAAACATACTCGCGCTGCGAGGGCCCTAACGCCCATTTGCTGTCTTACCATACCTGAAAGCAATTTCCTTCGTCCGAAACCTGACGAGCCTTGTGACAGCAAGAGGAGACCCACTTAATTGGGCCATAAATGAATCAGTCTTCACGCTCTGGTATTTCACAACTGCTAACAGTGGATCATGACCGCACAATCTAAAGGAAGCCAATTAAGAAGAAAATGACCGTTGTCCAAGTATGGGACTGCGAGTTAGGGTAACTAGCGCAGCCACGTGTTGGAACGTTGTCTTTCCTAATACGTTTGAGTCACACTTGGTTCCATTTCCCTGAACTACTGAAATGTCTGCCAGTGGTTGTCGGTTGGACTCCCCTTGTATGAATATCAGCACTGTTTCCCACCACGATCGGGAAAACTAAACGAATTCGAGCGGTAGAGGCTTGAAGCTCACCACTCAGCTCCATCTAATGCCGATGTCAAGAAAGATGGAGCTATACCTCAACTCCCCCCCCCATATGTCTTCAAGGCATGATGTTTAACTAATTAAGCAGAGAGACGCCGGTCACAGTAGCCGAGCGGTCTAAGGCATGCACTGTCTTCGCTCGCTCGGAAGACGGGATCGTGGGTTCGAATCCCACTCAGGGCATGGATGTTTGTGTGCGTTTTTCTGTGTTTGTCTACAGGTAGAGGCCTTGCGACGAGCTGATCACTCGCCCAAGGAGTCTTACCGTATATGTAAGTCGAGAAGAAACCGAAGTGAACGGAGTTCATGGAGGTAGGCCTAGGCCCATTGGGGTTGTATTGCCAAGGGGGGGAAAAAAAGCCATCTCATGACATCGCCTTGTGCTTTAAGCGCAGTTAAGCAAGCAGTAAGCCACATACCTACCCAAATGACTAATTAAACCCCAGAGCATTGTACAAGGGCTTCTTCTGAAGTTCATATTCACTTACTCAAGAAAATAATTTATATTTATGGAACCAGAAAGTTCATCGCCGATTTCAGAAAACAATTATCTAAACGTATTAAATAAGAGTTAAACGTTTAGGCCTACTGACATTTGCGTTCAAGATAAATTATCAAGGGATGCTAGAAAGCCCAAAACAAAGCCTCTCTTGCCTTAACGCCAACCTTACTTTCATTGAACCCGTTTTCACAAACGAGGTTATGGATACCGAGTCAAGGTATTATAATCACTATATCTGCTGTCAATGGAATTACCTACCAAACTTAAGAAATCCAAGCCATGTCAGTCACAGCAAACAGTACACCCATTACACTAGAAGAAATGTCACTATCACAATGTTAGTTTGAATGTCAGTTTAATTATAAAGTTGAGGTTTGTTTAAGGCGCCGAGAGACACGAATAATTCTTTCAACTTAGTTAACTATATCCATTAACCATCCTCACATATTGTACCAGATTTACAATTCGTAACCAACCATTCGCAGCTCAATAACGTGTTTAATTGATATAACATCTATGTATTCACAGTCCGTCAATAATCCAACAATTGTTTATTCACCATTTAACAGTTAACACAACGTTTTTCAGCCAGTTTCACAACAGTGTAGCAGTAGGACGCATTAAAATACCTGAAGATGACCATCTATGGCCATTTTGTGCAGAAATATGAAACATGTTAATCCTTTAGAACAGTGTTTCTCAACCGCCGGGCCGCGACCCAGTACCGGGCCCTGGCATCAATTATACCTCCTCTTATAGAAAAAAGAATTTACCGGGCCGCAGTCTGACAAAGATTGAGAACCACTGATTTAGAGCAATGGTTTTCAATGGGGGCCATACCGTATTTCGGAGTGGCCACAGGCAAAAGTCGGAAAAATGGGGGGCCATAGAAACTGTTAAGTGGGCCACGAAAATTTCACTTCTAAAATAGAAGTATTAATAATATAAAAAGAAATAAAAATGTCAAATGGTCAGTATATATAATAACACGGTAACGCAGTATCCTTTTTTTCTGTGTACTTCACTTAGAAGGGACAGAACCAGCTGTACTTAAACCACAACCTTAGATCTGGGAATTCCGAGTACTGGTAAATAGGTACTCGCAAAGCCCTAATGAAATGGTTAACTGGAAAAATGGCCCTTTATTTTCCTAAATATCTCCCACTCCTCTCCCCACCACCTTTTCAGTAAATTTCAGGTGTTCTTCAGTTCAGTTCAATATTCGGGTGTTTGGAAGAAGACTTTTTCTGCGAAAGTTCTATTATTATAGTAGTTCCATACTTTGGAGGTAAGTTGCAAACTCCAGCTACTATTTTTCGACAACTAAACATTACATTTCATAATAACGTGAAATTTCATTACAAACAAATTACTAGCTTTCAGCAGAATTTCAATACCCTCCCTCTACAAAAGAAAATTTAAATCTGAATTTAGTCTAATTCTTCGTCTTTATAAATAAAGATTGCAGTTAATAAAGCCCTTTATATCATTAATATTCCTTATATTATAAACAAATGATACATGTTATAACTGAAAGTACGGTTGATAAAGTACATAATTATAATTAAACAATACGAGGGATTGGTGCAACAGAAGTGGGCCATGAGCAAAGAAAGGTTAAGAACCATTACTTTAGAGCACACTGGTTACTATGTGTACGACCTGCTGTAACTACGTTTTGCTCACGAAGTACTTATTTATTACATGTCCTGCGGTTCGCTAAAAAACAGGGATTATTTCGCCAAGAATCATTCGATTGGTCTTGACAGTGTAGAAGAGACGTATTTTATATAAGGTATGAATTGAATTTTTAAATATTATTTAGATAAATTTCAGACTTAAAGTGCTTAATCAGATATGAAGCACACTTACCTGTTAAACGTCTTCTCATATTCCTTAATTTCTCGGCGTGAAAACTCATGGAATTCACTGAAGATGTTCTTCTTTACGATCTTGAACTGTGGAGTGACTTCTTTTCCTTCATCCAGTGCCTCGTTAATAGCCTGACGCCTGTTCAGAATTGAACTCAGTTCTTGATCCGCGGGCATTGTGCTGTATCTCTAGAACACCCAAGAGTCAGGAGTAGCACGCTCAACACAACAGACGCAGAAGAACTGGCGAGCAAGTCCCCAGCTGATAAATTGGTAGGCTTGCGCTAGCAGACGACAGTACGGCGACGCAAGCAAAAGGCGGGAAAATACACCACGCATGCGCCAAGGTGAAAGTTCCCAAGAGCGTAATTGTTACTACGAATCAGGAATCTTAAAGAATTAACGTTAAGGATATTTCTACGTATCGTATCTATGATAACTGATAGTCGCGTAAAAACTGCAATTGTGTACATGTTACTCAACTGCATATCAAGTAGCGGTTCCAACTCGAAGATTACCCGTACAGTGGAAGAAGAGGGCAAAGGAGCAACTTCACGATATGTACTTTAATTCTTTTTACATTGTGGCGCTATAAGTTATAACGCCGTATGGTCTTGTCATATCCCGGAACACCACAATATAAATTTTAGCCGCTATGAAAACCTTGAATCGCTTGTTTTCCTCTCATCTTCATTTGCCGTGGATTAGGCTGTCTGCTTTTTCAATAAAAAACTAATTCTGAAATAATGCCTTAGATAATTTTGCAGGACCATTTGGAAGACTGATAGGTCTATCGCAAGACAATTACGTGCACAGGACAACACGGTGCAAAAAAGAAATACATAAGGCACTTCTAGTGGGGTTTGAATCCGCAAACCGAAATATAGTCGTCCAAAGCTGCGATTAATACACTCCTCCCATACTGCTGGCTTGGTTAAATCGAGGAGGGTGACTGGACAGTACACGGAGCAGACAATGCATGTATATTCTGGTCATTTAAAGACTGAATTTCATCTAAATAACATACAAATTTCAGTCCGTACCTCACAGGAAACATACCAGTTCGCCCTAAAGGGTTAACAATGAAAGCATAATAAGAAAGGAACACTTTTATGGCCTAGACTTAGAAAGGAGGATAATATTAAAACGATTACTGGAGTTGAGGCTCTGACAGCAATGACTATGAAGAGTGCGATCTTCTGAATTGTAACGCCATATAATTCGGAGAGGGCCTGACGTTTCGGAGTGACATATTTTCTCCATCTTCTGTGTCGGAGAGTGACCCAAGAAAGAAACCAGCAGAAGCCGGAGGCAAACATCCAGTCACGGCATCAACTCCTACATACATCTTCATGCGAGTGTTGCGTAAGTGCTACTACACTTCTCCCGAAATTATTAATTCTGAAGATGGCAACTGTAATGTTTACCGAAACGTTGAAAATACCGTCAACATCCAAAGCAGCTTAGTCCCTAAACCGAAGTCAAACAAATTCGTTGTGAAAATATGAACTGGTCAAATCAGCGCCCATACGGTCCAGTAAGTTTATGTAGGACTTTCGCTATCTGCTTTCACCCTAGTTTCTTACTTGGCTTCTTCGATTCTGAAGATGGAGGCTATATGTTCCTCCGAAACATCGGTTGACTTTCAACGTACTATACCTCGTTATATCCAAGAAGGTAAAAGTCTTCAAAACTCTTTTTATGCCTACTCAGCCTCTAACAGAAATGAGTACCAGGAATCTTCCTGGGAGGTTAACGGCGGCAGGCGCGTAAGGCTGGCAACCTCACTGCCATCTGTGAACTTATTGTCTAGAAAATGCGTGGGAGCCTCGATGTCTTACAACCTTATGGGCCTTCATGGCATAATATAGGGATTAAAATAATAATAATAATAATAAATTTTGTTTTAATTAAAAATATTTCAACCTAATCTTGTTTGCCTTATTTACAGATCTATCCCGAATCATGGTTGAAGGAAAATTTAAATATAGGCTATTGTCTCTGAATACCACACCATTGGAACATATGGGTGGAGTGGAGGAACAGCTCCACTCATTCTTAACTTCGGCATTAGATGGAGGAGCTTCGGCCAAGTATCAGTCGGAACTGAATCCCTGAGTGTGCCTCAGAGGCCGATTTGGACTTGAAGACAACTGCTGTCCTGTCGGGAACACAACCCCAGTTGTCAAACCCATAATCAGTCTACTGTCTGCCTTTGTCCTTTTTATGAGAAAAATGCAGGATGTAAGACCTAAATGTTTTAAAAGTTGTTGTCACTCCTGTTTCTTGGTTATACCGACTGTAGGAAGTAGAACGAAGATTTTTTTAAACTCTCTCCTGTATAAAAAATTTGCTAGTTCTGCCTCTACGAGACCTAATCACACAAGTGAATTCCGTCTGAGCTGTTGAGCTGGCGATGGACGCATTTGCAGGACAATCAGAATTGCTGACTTGCGTGTAAGAAGATAACGTCGCTGTTTTGTGGAAGCCGTGATTAGGTGCAAGTTATTCCACTTAACTTTGTACTGAATTCAAATTATCCTATCGACATTGCCCTTAGTGCACTTTCTTCCCCTTTAATTACACTGGTTGCTTTCACTAGATCCCGTAGTGCCGGCTGCTTCAGTCAGTATTCTGGTCACAGTACGGAAAGGACGACTGAATTTCGATTACTGGCAAGTGAAGAGAATTTTCATTTCGACATACTTTCCAGACTGGTTATTGGGGGGGGGGTCTCCCGACCTGCTCTCCAGTAGGTTCTGGGGTAATGCATGAAGCTGGCCACAAACTTCCATATGTTCCCCAATACTTCTTTATGGCATGGTACTTAATTAAAATAGAGGGACAACCTTCACCAGCCATTGTTTGCAGAACAAAAATGGATGACCTCATTGCATTGGTCACGGTACAGATATTAAATTTCCCAGGTATGTGAAATCAAATTCGCGGGAAGGAAAGCATTGTGTGTATGAAATATTGGTTCTCGTGTCCTTGAGGCCGACCAGTGAAACCTGTGTTTGGATCCAGGACTTCTGTAATTTAAGTCTGTGGTCCGGGTAGCATCTTCAGGGGAAGAGGAGGATTTGATGAAGTATGGCATACAGAAGGCTATAATTTGTTATAATCCTTCCAGCCGCACTATGGCCCTGGGGTCGACTCAGTCTCTAACAGAAATCAGTACCAGGAATCTTCCTGGGGGTAAAGGGTGGCCAGCGCGTAAGGCTGGCAGCAATACTGCCATCTGTGAGCCGACTGTCTAGAAAATGTGGGAATCTCGACTTCTCATACAGGAATAGCTTTAACTTTTACAATTTTTATTATGTGTTCTACACGATTGTGAACTTCTGAATTATTACAGTGGGCTATCTTATATATGGATGCCAAAGCTGCAGAGGAACATGTCGCCTTTATCTGCAGATGGAGGCAGAATGTTTCTCTGAAACAGTGATATTCACTTGCAAGGCTACACGGTATCGTTGCATAAAAGGCAATCGTTATATTCACCGCCGTGAATATGAAAAAACTTATATATACAATATATAGTTAATTAACCGTGTTTTATTGGCCTATCATGAAATAGATATTTTGCCTCTTCCTATACAAAATTAATTTTGAAATAACAAATGCGGTCATGCATTTGATAGGACTCGTCGAACGAGGAATCATATGACAACCTAACACACAGAAATTAACATATATCCCTACTATGAGAGGAATTCTCTCGAGCGATTTATGGCCTAAGGAAGGGCTCAAGATCAAGCAGTTACTTCTCGTTATAGGCCTAACGATTATAATTAATTTATACCAGCTAACCTATTTGTATCTTTTAAAATTTAAAATAAATTTTATTGAAACACACAACAAGATAAATTTAACTGGAAGAGCAATAAAAGCTTGAGAGGTACTCCAAGACTGACAAAGAATATTTTGACAGAGGAACTATGTTTTTAAAATTTATAAAAAAGAAATAAGAAAAGAAAAGAAAAGACTATAATCTTTATCACTCCGTCGTAGTCACGTACTTGAGCACAAAATACTGAAATTGCGAGTTCTAACCCCGCACGGGGTGTCAAGACAACTTAATTATGCATATTCGCGAATGACGCGTTTAGAAATATCTAACTTAAAGAGATTCATGCCAAATGTGCACGCATTTCACATCTCGCTTTGCTCTCCCCTTAAAAACAAAGTGGTTAAAGTAGTACCACCTGCTTTTACGCTAAGAATCGGGATTTTCCTCATTTGCGGCTTTCGTATGAGTCGGAAATAAGCAGCGATTATTTCCCTAAACAGCATTAACCAGCTAGTAGCAATAGAGATGCAGGGTGTTTCTGTGACGCAGGAACTGAATCTTTAAGTAACATTTATATGAATTTCAGGCTTCTTATGATGCCTATGGTATACATTGGATGTGTTGCGGTAGGCCTATGACACTGCTTTGTACGCAGAAATGTATGCTATAAATATGCGAACCTTGCCCTGAAAGGGGACTTAGGCTATTTCCCCACATTGTACTTGCTGTGTGCAGTGAAGTTTAATCGCAACATCGCGAATCTATGGGGGCAGTCGAGTAGTGAGTCAAGGGGTAACGAGAAACACTGCGAAATCGATGCGCACGTGAGTAATAACATGAGTCATGCGGTAGATGACACGCCTAGTGTACTCATATTGAGCTGCATACAGTGATACCTGCAGAAACATCGCGGGAAGAAAGAGAAATGAAAGGTAAAAAGAACTATCTTTCTCTCTTTTTACGTATCTTTATTTTTATATTCTTTGTTTAGCTTGCTTTCCTTATCTCTTATCACTCTTCTGCTTCCGTTTCTATCTTGCCTTCATTCTCTTTCTTTCCTCCTTTTTATTTGCTTGTTTGTTTATCCGTTTCTTTCCCCACTTCTCTACCTCTCTTTCAGGGTACTCATCAAATTTATATGTCCTGAAGTACGTTCCTCCGAAACGTCGATGTCTTCTACCGGACTACACACTGTTATATCCCAGAAGACAGTCCCCTTCGTAACTACTGCTATGAGAATCAAAATTCCAGCATTGCAATTTAAATTCCCGGACGGCATCTCTGTAATTGATATGTTGGTTGTGGCATTCCAGAACCTGTTTAGGAACGGTGTTAAAAGGTTCCCGTACCGGAGGCAACTCGCCCGTTGCTGGACTCTCTGTGAAGAATCACTTAGCCCATATCGTAAGAGGAGTTCAAAGTTGCTGCTGGCGTTTCGTACGTGTGCTTTTGGGCAATACATT